CACAAGAGGTAGGAAATAGTAAATTACCTTTGCGTACCTTATACCATGAAAACTTTGGTCACCATGAATTGCATTTGACGTGATGGGATGTAATTAGTTATTAATTCCCTTTACAGAAGACCAACTCTTGATTCATTCCATTGAATAGTCTGCATTCCAGTTATGTGAGAATTCTGTATTACATGCTCCTCTTTGCCATCTGTGACTGATCAAGCTACAAGCAAGCCAAACTTACACACCGCACAGGAATAGGACTTACTCTGCTGCCAGCTCTTCTTGCCAAAGAGCTTTCCCTGAGTGGAAATCTGTTACCTCTTAATAGTATGTTTTAAAATATTTAAGCAGAACTGTCTTCCTATTCTTTCAGATGCTCTTAGATATAATCATTAAAAATGCAGATAAAAAAGGAATTATATGTGCTGAGTGGCATTTCAGCATATAATCATAGATTCCAGACAGACTGTTAAAAACTCAGCCTTTCATTCTATTATTGCTCAAGCTAGACTTATATAGAAAAATAAGTCCAAAGATAGGTACTGGGTTAGCATGCAAAGAAGAATGAAAGATATAGAGACAGGGAAGGAGATGGAGAAAAATAAAAAGAACAAGAGAAAGAGGGAAAGGTACAGAAAATATAGGTAGAGTTAATACAATAAAATATCACTGTTGCCTTAAAGGGGGGGGGGGGAACTGATGGTCTGTATTTGACAGAAGTATACCAATGTGCCGACATTCCCATTTGAAAATTATTTTTTTTAAAAAATTAAGGGAGTTGAACAACAGTGGGTGAGGGAGGTCGGACTGCATGCCAAATGCATAGGAAATGAATCAGTTTCGGAATACACAGTCAGTGGGATGTTGGTTGTACTGCTCAATGAAACATGGAGAAATACAGTAGTAGCCTCCCAGCGTGCTGGATTTGATGCAGAGATAGCATGGAGAGGAAAACAAGTTAATTGAGAAAGGCTTTGCGTCATCTGAACCCTAACAAGGATCGAAATTCACGAGGAGTGGCTAAAAAAAAAAAAGCTGGTGTGACAGCAGCTCTGATGGCCAAAGAGACTACCAGTCGGTTATCCCTTTCTGCCCCCACAGAGCTTAGCTCCATCCACCCATTTACTTTTTTTCAGGAACAAAATGCCTGATGGAACCCTCATTCCTCATCTGTAAGTAAGTGAAAACACCTGTGAAGACTTCAGTTTATTGGCTAAAGCCCTCAAATTCTAGAGGCAGAATTCCTGGAAAATTCTGGGGGTAAAAGTCCAGGAAAGACCCATGACTACTGAGTACTGGCCAAGCTTGCCTGGCCTCATCCTCATGCGTTTAGTCGGAACTCTCCACTATGTCCTGTCCGTCTTGGGTATCCCTGCACGGCATAGCCCATAGCTTCTCTGAGTTACTCAAGCCCCTTCGCCACGACAAGGCAGCAATCCATGAAGGAGCTGGGCGGTTTACATATAACATAAAAATAAACTAAGGTAAAATCCAGATTAATTACAGAGTCCAAGGTGGGAAAGGAAGAAAAGAAGAAGGAGAAGGAGAGAAAAGAAAAAGAAGGGGAGATAGGCTAGATAATGGCTGTAGGGAAAGCCTGCCTGTATAGCCATGTCTTCAAGTTAGTCTTGAAGGCCCTCACCGAGGCAGCCAGGTGGATCTCTACAGGTAAGTTGTTCCAAAGGCAAAGGGCCACTGCTGAGAAGGCCCAGTTTCTAGACCTGTCTTGGCATTAGGCCCCCTCAGCCACCCGGCCTGACTGGAGCAGGTGATATGGGTAGAAGAAGGTGTTCTCCCAGGTATCAAGGGCCTAAACTGTTAAGGGTTTTGTATGTAATGGTTAGCACCTTGAAATCAATGTGGAAGCGGATAGGTAGCCAGTGTAACGCAGCCAAGGCAGCTTGAAATATGATGAAATCTTTTCACCCGTTAATAGCCTGGCCAATGTTCTGGACCATCTGGAACTTCCACATCAGTCTCAAAGGAACACCCACTTGGGAGTGTTACAGTAGTCTATTCTTGAGACTTCGAGCGCATGGACCAGCATGATGAGCGCCTTTGCATTTATAGTGCCCCTGCATCTAGATTGCCCTGCAGCTGGGTAATCTGCCGAAGATGAAAATGGGCAGAATGAACCAAGGATGTTACCTGGGTCTCCATGGTAAGTGCCAGATCAAGATGGACCCCCAGACTGCGAACTGAATTCTTTGTGGTGAGAGTCACCCCCCCAAAAGAGAGGAAGTTCCCCAAACATCAGCGCCACCCACCTGCAGGACCTCCATCTTGTCCAGGTTCAACCTTAGTCCATTCGACTGCATCCATTGCAGAATGGCCCCCAGGCAACCCCCAAGGAACCGAACGGCATCCACAGCAGATGGAGAAAAAAGATGTAGAGCTGGGTGTCATCAGCATATTGCTGACACAAAGCTCCACATCCCCATATGACACCCCCATGGCCTCATGTAGATGTTAAACAGCATTGGGGAGATGATCAAACCCTGCGGAACTCCACAACTGAGGGACCAAGGGACCGATACATTCTCCCCAAGCTGAACTCTCTGGGGATGGCCCTCCAAGAAGGACTGGAGCCAAGCGAGAACAAGGCCACCAATCCCCAACTAGGAGAGCCTCCCCAGGAGGATACCGTGGTCAACGTTATCAAAGGCGGCTGAGATATCAAGGAGGAAAAGCAAGGACATTTTGCTCCAGTCAGCCTCCCTAAGTAGGTATGCAGCAGGACAACCAATGCCATTTATGTGCCGTGGCGCACTGTGAAGCCCAACTGAAATGAATCCAGGCCATGTTTCATCCAAGAGAGCCTGAAGCTGGTTGGCCACCACCCTCTCAACTACCTTGCTAAGAAAAGAAACATTGGCAACAGGCCTATAATTGCCAATGATGTCCGCTGCCAAGCTTGGTTTCTTTCTAATGGGCCTAATGAGTGTTTCCTTAAGGGCAAGGGGAGCCTTGCCCTCAATAAGAGACTCATTTATTATTTCAGTGGCCCATTCAGTTATCACAGGCCTGGCAGCTTTGAGGTGGTGGTGGCCCGGTAGCGATCAAGGACCTTGTCCACCTCTGCAGATGTCACAGGTTGAAATGGAATATTTCTCAATGGACAAGGCACTGTGCTGGATGTCTTGGCTTGCTGTTTTCAAATAGGGTGCAAGATCCTGGCGGATGGCCTCTACTTTTTATTTTTAAAATGCTGCAAATTGGTCACAAGAAATGCTAGATGGAGGCCAATCGTTGTGGCTGATTCTGGACAGGTCACATACTATATGGAAAAGTTCCACCTGCTGATTGGATGCTTTGTTGATCCAGACAGTGAAGTAGGCTTTACTAGCAGCCTCTGCCCTAGCAAGGTAGAGGTTAGACGCGACCTTGGCAGCTTTTAAGTTATTTTCGATCACGTTCTGCCTCCAGACGCTCTCTAGCCTTCTCCTATTTCATTTCATAGTCTGCAGCTGCTGGTTAAACTCAGGTGCTGGTTAGCTCTGCAGTATTTAGGAGTGATCGTGTCTACAGCAGCGGCATACCAGCCATCCACCAGGGACTTGACAGGAACACCAGACAGGTCAGTCAGAATCCCACGCATGGCATCCAGTACCCTGGAATCCAGTAATCTGCAAGGGTGGACCACGAAAATAGGTCTCTGCTCTCCATGGGGAGGGAGGGCCACTGTGAAATTGCACATTATCAGGTGGTGGCCCAACCACAAAAAGGGGATCAACTAAAGGTCAGTCACCATTGGGCCACATTCTCTCTGCTCAGTGGAGAAAAACAGGTCCAAAGTGTGGCCACCCACGTGTGTGAGGCTGTCAACATGTTGGGACATGTCCAAGGAAGTAATGGTTTCCAAGAACTCAAGAGCCAAACCAGTAACCTCCACCTCCGCATGGATGTTGAAATCACCCGAGGGAATCAGTCTCGGGGAGTCCAACAAAGCCGCTTAGACTCAGTCAGTTAGCTCCAGTAGGGAGGTGGCTGGATCGTGGAGAGCATGGTATGCTAGCAAGATCCCAATACCATCCCTGGCCCCAATCGACACGTGGAGAGCCTCTAGGCCAGGCAATGCCACAGCAGAGAGTCTGAAAACCTCCAGGGGTGTCCTTATAAACAATGGCAACTCCCAGTTATACTGGACAATGGCAACACCCGGTTATGCTGGACAGCATAACTGGGTGGGGGACAGGCAAGAGACAGGGGCACACCCCCTTCACTACCCATTCACGTCTTGGTTATGCAAGCCAGATCTGCATCCCTTTCCAGAATAAGATCTTATATTAGCTGGGCTAATACATATGTACGCCCTATATGTTTGGAAAACCAAACATATATGCCATACTTTCAAGGTCTAATTATTTCAGTCCCAACAGCAAGGGGAGACTATGATACCACAGCAGCTTTTAAAGGGGAGACAAAAAGTCAGTGCTGGAAGAATGAAAAATATTGCTTGATATATACATCAAACAGAACATGTAAGCCTTCCAGCACTGGATCTTTTGTGCCCATCGAAGAAGAAATTCCTTCCTCCAAGCATCAATGTTTTGTCCCACCTCACCATACTAATTATTTAAGAACATATTTCACTCTTCCAGTCCAGTCAATAGAAAGGAAAAGGGTGGAATGGGATTGAGCGATGCCCATTATAATTTAATTTTTTAAAAAATTAAACTATACTGTAATGGGCATTTTAACAAAAAAGATAAAGAAACTGTTGTCACGTCAATGCACCAACCAAAGTAGTAGAGACTTAAATCCATTTGTTATTCCCAAGTGAATAAACCAGGACCTGATAAGTCAACAGTTATATATCTTCTATTGATTCAGGGATTGAAAATAGTAAGTTTTAACTAGAGTAGCCCCCTTGAATCAATGGGGATTTAGTGAGTCAGCTGTTCCAAAAGTTCCACTGATTAAATTGCCCTACTCTATTTGCAGCTTATTACTGGATATCAGCCAGTGAGTGTGTGCTACTTAGGACTAACAACTGGATTTAGGTGCACATTTATAAGCATTTATTGAAATAAAGAATAGGCTTTTGATTTAAAACATCATAAGATCTGCAATCGGAGTGGGTCTACATCAAAACCAGTTACAGCAAGAAGCACATCACCAAGCTGATAGGAACCTGTGATAAAAAGGAAAAGGGGTGAATTGGAGAATGTTTCAATGGGACTGCTTGTAGAATCATAGAGTTCAAATAGAATATGGAGGTCATCTATTCTAGTTCCACACACAATGCAGGAACTGCAATGTAGAAGGAAACTGGAGAATGCCCAAGAGATCCCCACTCAGAACCCACCAGTCCCTTAGGCTGTCCATTCTACTCTTGAGCAGGTGTAACCGGTGGCCTCAAGGATCCAGGGTTCATTGAATCAAAGTCACAGGACTTTCTCCTTAGTAGATGCAATGCCAACAGAGACTAAGAAAGAGAGAGAGAGAGAGAGAGAGATGGCTTCCCTGCTCCCTCCAACTTTTGCTGCAGTCACAGGAGCTGAAAGAAACTGATTGTTGTAATGCAGAAAATTTGAAAGTTTTTTTTTCCTCTTGTAGGGGCTATCAAGAGTCTTTAGCTTTACAAAAAAAACCTGGCTCTTATTTATCAATATGAATCCAGCTTCTTGCAGATTTAGACTCTCCTTGTGGGGGTGGTTGGCTTTAGAGAGTGAAAAGATTGGCAGCTGCACTTCCAGATTTACAACTAATGATCTGCCCTAAACCATGCTGTTTCCACCCATTGGTTCACCTGTTCCTTCCACTCAAAGATTCTTTCCCTAAAACCTTTCCACTCGCCTCTAAGCATATATCATCATGGCACCTTAGACTACCAAAACAACAATCCAGAGGCTATATACAATCTTCCATGACAGCAAAAGCTTATGCTTCTGGGCTTACACTTCATCTATGCAGCATCCACTGTGTTTATTTTCAAATGAAGAAGCTGGTAGATTTATCTTCTCCCCAATCTCCATTTTCAACCATTTCAGAGAGCAATTCTGACTCTGATACTCAGAGCTGCTGACTGATTCTTTTTTAATTGCACTGAGAAAATTTTATAGCTTTTGTAGTGGGCATTAAAAATTAAATAAGTTCAGTTAGCAAATAATTTATTTGGTGTGGGGGCAGACAGACGGTCCCCCAAGTACACGAAGAGAGACAGAGAGCTGAGCAAGAGAGACCATATATTAAGCTTGTCTTCTTAATGCCAAGGCACCTTGTGCAATCCCGGAGGGTGAAAAACAGACACTTGGATGCACTCGTCCCAGTTTATTGATCCTATTAACATTATCTCGCAGTAAGATCAATGTGGGAGTTTCAGTCTTCCAGGAGACATATAAATGAGGAGATGAAAAAATAAACCAGGACAAATGGCTTCTTCCTGATTGAAAAAAATGAGAAATGAAAGAAAACATTTGGCTCTCCCCATGACAGTCCTGAAGCCATGCCCCTCAAAGAGAGCCCCAGAAAATACAGACAATGAATCTGCGGCAAGAAACCACTTCTAGAACCTTTGGGTTCTACTCGGAGCACAGAATGTAGCCTGGATAGCTCAGAGGTTGGGAGTTCAATTCCTTGCTCTGTCCCCCGCTCTGTCCCATTAATAAGGCTGGACTCAGTGATCCATAGGGTCCCTTCCAGTTCTGTAGTTCTAAGATTATTATTATACCATTAGATTGTTCACTCATGTACCACGTATTGGTTACTCAGATTGGCCCAACTAGTTGGAGACATCGTCAGAGGAACCAAACTTTTTCGTCCTCACTGCCATTGGTGCTAAATTTCATCTGGTCAAGCCCATAGGCTCAAGCAGAGCTGGAAAGTTAGACACTTTTGCCCTCCCACCCCAAATCTTAGACCAGTTACATAGTCAACTTTTCTTGGCCAAAATGCTATGGGGTTTCCACGGTGTCTGAACACAATTCTCGTACATCTTGTTGGTGAATTGCTACAAGTTAAGAAATTAGCATAGGTGTGGGTTTGTTTGCTTTTTGTTACTACACAGTACATATTGGACAATGCCTCTGCTAATTTCTTAGATTGCAGCACTTCAACCATGACATTTGTACCTCTTGAGCTATGCTGGCAGGCAGAACTGATAGAAATTTGGCCACTGCCTCTTTTTTCCCTTTCATTCATGCCAAAAATACCCTTGAGTTCCTTATGTGAAGAATGTAAAGAAGAGGATCAATTTTGGGGGTGATCTAAAAAGGAATCCTTAACAAAATTATTTTATTCTTTTAAAAATGCAAAGAAAACTGGGCAATCGAACACACAGTATTATTTTGACAGGTGACAACTGAGCCATTCAAAGACAATTACATTTTATCTGATTGGCCCATTTCTCCTATATAGTTTTTATGAACACAGCCGTGCTGCTGTGTACATAGACTGTAAAAGCCCTGTTTGTTTTCGCTGATTGAAGTCATTCTTTCCTCCTCCACCCTCTCCCCATGAGCTTTCCACACAAAGGTCATGTTTGCTTTCCCTCAGGGAAACTCATTTCTATCTTTGATGTTGGGAATGAAACACCATTTTGTCACAAGCACTCTACACAGTGCTTCAGCTGCCAATTACATTGGCTAGTTTCCACCAGATTTCAGGAAAATTACCTGAGCAGAGAAAGATCCAGTAGCTAACGCTGGTCACACATTCAAAAGGGGCAAAGATACATTCTGGGCTACTTCCCCCAGAACTCAACAGCAAGCATGGTCAGTGGCCATGTTGAATGTGGGATTCTGGAATTTGAGAAGTAGAAAAGGCTTCTGTCCACAGTTGAGGCCATCACAGTAGGACCTTGAGGCAAAAGTACAGGGACACACTCTGCAGAATAGGCAGGAGAGAGAAGGAGTTAAGATCTCCCATCTAGGAGTGTCAAATTTCTTTTCAGCTGCAGCTTGCAAGCAGCAATTTGCATCTGAATTGCACTGACTTTGAGGACCTTTCTACATACTGAGAGGGAAGAAATGGTAGACTTTGGCCTTGATTATCCATGTCAAAAGAATGCCAGTTATATTAATTGTGCTGTTATTTAAATCATCTTACAAATTTCCGTCCACATGACACATAGGTAACACCGATTCATTTGGACAGTCAATTGGTTTATTTCCACCTTACTGTCATGGTTGTTTTAAAATGCACTGATGCCTCTTTTGCTTCAGTCCTTACCATTTCAGAGTGTGTGAACATTGCTGTCAATTTATTTACTTTGTGAATAGGTCATGTTTTGGGCTCTGTGGCCACTGCATGGTCGCTGTGCCCTTAAAAATATTTTTAAAGGCATATATAAAAATTGCTTGCAATAGCAGCAGCAGCAACAACACGAATACATTGATCAGGAGGTGACAGCCCCCCCACCGGCTTGTAGGTATAAGAAAGAAAAAAAAGGAAAGAGGGCTTGAGTAACGAAAGTCCATTTCCTGCTTGGAATTGCTTGAGGGAGGGAAAGACAGGTGTTGCATGAACATCTCTCACTTACTTTGCAAGTCTTTCAAAACCTGCTTCCTCCTCCAGATACCCTTCGAAGGGGTAAAGAAAAATTAAAGCCAAGAACTAAGAGGGAGAGATATGCAGAGAAATAAGGAAAGGGGGATGAGTGAGAAAAGGAGGGAAAGGGGAGGAGGAGAGGAAGAAAAGGGGGAGAAGAAAAATAGAAAGTGGAGAAAGGAATCAGGAAGTAAAAAATTTAAAAAGGAAGGAAGGGCTGCAGGTGATATACGCCACCAGGCTACAAATCGACTAGCAGTGGGAAGTAATAGTAAAATAGCAATATATCATGAGTTATTTTTAAAAGGAAGGAAAGAAAATTTTAGGGAGTGGGGACGCCGAAACAGGATGACAAATGAATTGATTTATAGGGGATGGCACATGTAGCCTAGAGAACCAAAACAAATAGCAAGATATGTACTGATTGAACTGATAGCCATGTGAATGGGCCGAGCAGTATATATACCACTTGGAAACTATATCAATAAATAAAAAAGAGGAAAAAGAAACAATTCAAATGATCCATGAGATCAGGCCCTGAATGCTAAAATATATGCCTGTCTAAAGAACCATTGCTAACCAGAGTAGATGGACCAGCAATCTGCCTCAGTACAAGGTAAGATAAAGTTAAAGGTTCCCCTTGACAAATTGTCCAGTTGTGTCTGATTCTAGGGGGCAGTGCTCATTCCCGTTTCCAAGCCATAGAGCCAGCGTTTGTCCATAGACAGTTTTTGTGGTCACGTGGCCAGCACGACTAGACACAGAATGCCATTTACCTTCCCACCGTAGTGGTATCTACTCACATTTATCTACTCACATTTTTACATGCTTTCGAACTGCTAGGTTGGCAGGAGCTGGGACAAGCAATGGGAGCTCACTCCATTGCGTGGATTCGAACTGCTGATCTTACGACTTTGCAGCCCATAGGCTTTGTGGTTTAACTCACAGCGCCACCATGTCCCACCCAGTACAAGGTAGATTCCTGTAAACATGTACTTTCTGTAGCTCACTTACCCTTGTCTAATCTGGCTTGGGAGTAGAGCTGTAGATGGTCAGAGACATGAAGCAATGCATTCAGGTCCTGCTTGTGGACTTCTGTAGGCATCTGGTTGGGAACAGAGGTCTGGATTAAATAAGTAATTGATGCAGCAGATTCTGCTGTCAGAAGAGTTCTATCACTTTAAATAATCAGTCAGCTCCTAAAGTGATTCCTCTGACAATATGGTAGGACACAGATACTTTATAAGGCAGCACAGGACCAGAATAACATAAAGCATCCAACTCTAACTCCCCATCTGGATTTGGGCCTGAAAGACCAAGGCATGGAAGGTAGATTGTACCCAACCACACTTGGAGACATTGCACAATTTTATTCTTGATCATGGGCATGAATCTTCAGGTTATAAGCCCTAACCCCCCACCTTCATTTTTGCTCCACATGTCGGAATCCCACCAACTTTCTCATCACATCCACATTCTGTATTAAGTTGCATGACTTTTTTTCCTTTTTCCTGCAAGGAAATATAGCATCTTAAAGCATTTTGCCCCCCACCTTCATTTTTGCTCCACATGTCAGAATCCCACCAACTTTCTCATCACGTCCACATTCTGTATTAAGTTGCATGCCTTTTTTTTTCTTTTTCCTGCAAGGAAATATGAGCAGTTTGATAAGTGTTCCACAACATAGCATCTTAAAGCATTTTAATATTGATTTTATAATGTACACATTGACTAAATTGTATTTGAGTATGCACATTCTTCAAATATATGTATTATTATTTTAGTTGCCTATATTCCCTTGGATATAATTCAGGGAAAAGGGGGAGGGAAAATCTGACATTTGTTGTTCTCAGCAGGTGACTTGATACCAAAAAAAAATAATGTATTTCATTACAACAGTCTTACAGGACACAAATTAGATATATTTC